AGGTGGCTCAGTGGATAGAGTATCAGGCCTGGAGTCAGGAGGACCTGATTTCAAATCTGGCTTCAGACACTTACTAGCCATGTGACCCTGGTCAAGTCACCTAACCACCTAACCCTGATTGCCTCCATGATGAAGAAGTCACTAGAACTTCTTGGGGTGTGTGTGTGGCGGGGGGGATATGTTCTATCTGGTACAAACCTGATAGAGATTATTTTGGCAGCTAGGTGGTAAATGGATTGGAGAGGGGAGAAAACTGAGGCAGGGACACCAATTAGGAGAATGTTGCCATATCCAAGTGAGAAAAGGGGATTATTGCAGAGGGAGATACATTGGAAGGGAGAAGCAGCATTTACATAGCACCTACTATGTGCCAAATACTCTGCTAAGTGCTTTCACAAATACGATCTCATTTGATCCTTACAATGACCCTTTGAGGTAGGTTCTATTATTATCCTCATTTTACAGCAGAAGAAACTGAGGCAAACAAGTTAAATGACTTGCCCAGGGTCACACATCTAGTAAGTGTCCAAGGCTGAATTTGACTCCAGGCCCAGTGCTCCATCCTCAGCACCACCTAGCTGCCCTCTATCTTCTGGCTATGAGTCATTTCCATTAATAGCACCCATTCTGAGGCTACTATTCTCACTCCCACTCTCACTTCGGAGCCCCCAGAGCCTTTCCTGCTGCAAGGTGGTCCCAGCTTGCCAGGGGCTCACATTCAACTAGGGAGAGACAATACATATAAGAGGTTTTGCTACAGGGCAACATCTTTTTTACCCCTTCCAACCTTCAGCTTTGCTGAAGTCCAAATGGGTACTCCCTTATATGAGCATTTTTAAAGAGCTACAGGGATCAGAAGTAGCAAGTATGGACTTCATCAAGAATGGGTCACGACAGCTTAGCCACAGTCTAGACAAGAGGTCTCCTAAGGTCCCTTCCAAATCAGAATGTGGAGAGGGACAAAAAAAAGCCAATGCTTAAAATCTAATACAGTAGGGTACGTGCAAACTTACTTCCAAAATAAAAATTAAGGGATGATTAAGTATAGAGAAGGAGCTCCAAAGGAGGAAGAGAAAAAAGGAATCAGAGATGACTTCTAGTTCCAGAGATGGAACCATCCCCGGGAACATAGTTATTTTCAGAAATACTTGTCTCAGCAGGACCCAAATGAAGAGATATGAGAGGACTCCTCCAATCCACCCTTTTGTGGAAATGGAAGGTCTGTAAGTGTTTTCAGACTTTTTCAATGTATCAGTTGGTTGTATTTAATTTTTTTTCTTTTCTTTTTGGTCTTTAAAGAACATTATTTTGACATATTGGATGGGAATGGATACTGGAGAAAACTACAATGATGTGGGGGAGAAAGACATCAACAAAAATTTATTTAAAAAATAGATTCTTCCATAGAAATCAGCTATTCATTAATTGCAAGCATTTTTTTTAAATGGGAGGAAAGAAAATAAATTGCTTGTAATTGAAAAAAATCTAAAACAATAAAAAATGTCCATTCTAAGGCAGAATCTGGTCACAGGATGTGGTGTGATAGGGAAGCCCGAATGAGTTGATCAAAAGCATAATGGAACTGTCTCCCTACCCAGCCCCACTGCAGCCAGATGTCAGTTAATTTCTCATTTGCCAACTGGTACTCAAGTCTATCATCTGTACACAGATGTGTGGTGGAAAGTGTTATCTGGGGTCAGAGGAAATTGGTCTCAGTGCCAGATCCAACATTTACTAGCTCTGTAAAATGAAGTTCACACGGATTCTATGACCAGTGTCCCAGGACTGATGTGAAAAAAGCACTTTGTGCATTGTGAAGTGTAACCATACTCCTATGGTTATAACTATTATAGTAAGTTGAGAAAGAAAGCAATTGGACTGAGAAATTCAATCAAGTCCTGTCTTATTCCACCCAGACGGCTGGGTGGTGCAGTGGCTACAGCTTTGAACTTGGAAGTAGGAAGACCTTAGGTCAAATCTGGCCTCAGACACTTAGCAGCTGTGTGACTTTGGACAAATCACATAACTTCTGCCTGCCTTGATTTCATCAGATGAAAAGTGGGGATAATAACAGTACCTACCTTCCTTGAAACTTGCAAACGGGGAGAAGCTAGGTCAAATTAGGCTTCAGACACTCACTAGCTGTGTGACTCCAGGCAAGTCACTCAACCTCTGCCTGCCTCGGCTTCCTGATCTGTAGAATGAGGTTGTTGTGACCTGAACAGATAACATTAGTCGCTTCAAAAAGCTTGAAGCACTCTATCAATGCTGTTATTTATTATTAACATTATTCCACCCTAAGTGGTCTCCTTGAATTGTGTAAGTCAAAAACCAGGTCATGCCTTGACTGGACACATGACATTCATTTCTATCATCTGTACAAATCACCTGTGAAAGGTGGAGCAGGAGGGGAAATCGAGAGTGAAGAGTGAAGGACTGTGCCTTGGGAGGACTGAGGTCCTCTGACACACAGGGGGAGGTTGGGAGGGGTAGGTGGGCTGAAGGGGAAAGATAATGAGTTGCTTGAGATGTGTTATTACTCTTCAATGGCTTCTCAGAGACTGGAAAGGGGTGACTCCTTCTATCAGCCTCCTGCTCTCCAATCCTCAATACACTTTACCTTCAACCCCGGTGGCAAACAATATTTAGCTCTTGTAGTCCATTGCTCTACGTGTCTCATCACAGCAGTGCGGGGGGGCTGGCCTCAGACTGAACATCCCCGGAGGGCGTTCTGCAGCGTGTCGGCAGAACTCTATGGAATGCCTGCCAAATCATCATGTGCAGTTTCATAAATGCTTCAAGCTGCTTTTTCTCAGTCATCTTCCTTGGACGTGTCCTCATGGAGGGGGATGTGCCCTGGGCACTCCAAGGCCAAGCTCCAACAGGGCACATGGGGCCGGAGGCTTTGAGTACAAGCTCCGTGGCACCAGCCAGCATCTGAGGGTTAGTCTGGTTAAGTTTGACATGACTCTTCTCCTAAAAGTCAATTTTTAGCCAAAGCAACCCATGAACACCCATCTATCAATTAAGGCCAGGGAAGCCTGGGACAAGGACCCATCCAGAAAGACCGTCTAAAGCATCCAGGAGTAACATCCAGGCACTAAAGATACAAGACGGCCGAAGGGGAGACGGAGAAAGAAGGGGAAGAGGACAAGAGGAAGTGAAACGCCCATTAAGACGACGGGCCATATCCCTGAGGAGCCGGCACTAACCCAAGTGTGGGATGAGTCTTGTGGGTCTATGCCTGCGTGGAGCACTGTGGACTGGGCACATACATCACCGGGACCACAGGAAGATCAGGCAACCACAAAAGGACCTAAGCAGGGGAGCCAGAAGCCGATCAAAAATACCTCATCCCCTAACCCACCACCTGTTGCCAGTCTCCTCTGGGGAGAGATAAGTCAAGGACGGTGGGGCAGGTGCCAGAGCAGGGTCTCTGTGCAGTGGCCCTGACTCTTCTTTCAGGGCACCATGGCAGAAGTCTGGTGGGTTCTCCTCCCATTGGTATACATGGGGGCTGTGGTTAATTAGAATCACAGAGTCACAGAACGTCAGAACAGAAAGGCCCTCCGAAATCATCTGGTCTATGCTCCTCATTTTAAAGACAGGGAAACACAAGTGGTGACTGGCCCAAGATCCCAGAGCTACAAATTAGCAAGGGTCAGGACTAGAACCCAGCTCCCTCGTCTCCTAATCCTGCCTCCACAAAAGCCACGGCTTGACTCGGATCCAAGCTTCAGTCTCAAAACAGGAATCAGCAAAGGCAACAGCACACATTTATTGGTATCATTGCTTATATAATTTACACTCTTTAACATCACCAGACAGAAGTAACAATCATAAGCTAGTCAGTCAATAAACATTTATTAAGCACCTACTCTAGGCCAGCTAAGAGCTGTTTCAAAAAAAAAAAAAAAAGACTTCAAATGAGAAAATTTTCAAACCCACATGGACTTCACAGGGACTGTATCTTTAACAAAAGGAATGACCAGATCAGCAGAGTCAGATGGAGCTCCATCGGTGCCAACATGTTTTTCTACTTACAAACAAAAGAACAGCCACCCAATTTAGCCATTTCTGGGTTTCTGGGTTTCAGCTTGAGAAGTCACCAAGAGATATCTGACAAAAAAGAAGTAAGGCACCTCTTCTCAGCGGCCCGAGTGGAACACTGCAGGACAAGTCTGCCTCTCTCTTTCTCTCCATCTCTCCAGCTCGGGAGCTGGGGGTGGCGGGGCAGAAGTCTCTGCAAGCGACCTCCTGGACCTCACTTGGTCAGGTGCACAAACCAGGACCCCAGGAAGGCCCTTCCATATTAGCTGAACTAATTTGGCAGAGAAGCATTTCTGCACCATCTCTCTTCTAAGAAACCAAGATAATTAATTCTCTTCCTAGCTTTGGTGGGGTGAAATACTTCACAGCATTGGCAGGTGGGGGTGGGGGTGGACTAGGTTTTTTATCAGCTGGAAAATTATTTCAAAAGAAGCAACTTCCCTACCATGCTCAAGAAGGTTTCTATCTTCACACAACAGATTGGTTATCATTTCTCAACTGTTCCGAGTCAAAATGCCACTTCCCAAGGCACCCGGGGCAGAGTGCTGGCAGTGTCTAGATACAGGGTGGGGGAACTTGTGGCCTTCTAGATCCTTAAGGGCTATGTTTTGAGGATCTAGAAGGTCACGTTCCCTACCCCTGTATCTAGAAGCACTGTAGAATGAAAAAAACATCATTTTAAGAAAACTTAAATGTTAAGTTTTTTGAACCGAGTCCACTTCGTACGGGCAGCAGCTAAAAGGGGAGGAGGGAAGAACGACACCAGGAGGTTTTGGTAAAACTGCCAAACTGCCGAAGGAAGGCGTGACTGTAGAAAGTGGCTCCCTCTGGATGGGCAGGACGAATTCTCACTTTCTGGTGATGGCATTGATCAAGTAATGTTCACCAAGTCAAAATGATGCCATCCACCAACAGAACTGACTGAATAAAAACATCTTAAGACAGACTCAAACACTTATAAGATGTATTTATTTATTTACTGTTTTCCTGAACAAACCAAAGTGCAATTATTTTTGGAAAAATCCTTTTAAACAAATAACTATGAAAAAAAATGAACCCACCCACCAAGAAAACAAAACAAATTTCAAATTCAAACTTTAAGAGAAATTCCCCCCTCCAGCCAATACCAGACCTTGTTATTATTCCGAAGACCCCAAATCTCTTTTAAGTGTTCCAAAAATCAAACTGGTGAAAATCTCCCTTTCCCTTACCCCCAGCACATGTTTTCAGGTTTGTCACTGGCAAGGAATTTTGCTGAGGTTCCTTTGAACCAGGAGGAGGTAGGCTGAGTCAGTCTGGAAAGATCCGTTCCCTCCCCCCTCCACCTGCGATGGCCTTGGGTCATGACTGAATCAAGATGGCCTGAAGGCCTGAAGCCCTGGAACCTCGAGCCCACCCCTCTCTCCCACTACTCATGGCCAAGAGCCAAGGAGGTTCAAATCCGGTCCAGATTTCCTATGGTCAGTTAAAAGTAACAAACATGAAAACAACCCCACGGCGTTGTTTTCTCACTTCATTTACAAAAAAAAAAAAAGAAGCAAACAGCAACTTCCTGAAGATTCCTGACATTTGGTCCACGGATCCACATAGCGGGTGGTGACTGCTTTTTAACTGGCTGCTTGGAAAAGCAATTGGGGACCATCGTGTCGCTCCACTTGGACACTCAGAACAAGCTTGGCTCCAGAAGGTACAAGCAGGAGAGGAAGGGAGGGCCTTCTTTGCTGGGTGAAAGCCTTCACTAACACTAAGCAGGGCCCTGAAGTTACTGTCTACTGGAGTCATGTAAAATGACTGCTGTAAAAAAATTTTTTTTCACTTAATTACTATCTTATTTTCCAGTCATCCATTGAGACATAATGACAACATTTAAAAAACTTCTTTAAACAAAGGGTAGACTGAAGTAGCAGCTATCGAAGCGAGGGTCAGGCATGATCCATGGAGAAAAATTAGCCTTCTTTGTCAAAGATCTTCAAGACGTCTTCAAACACCTGAAAGAAGAAAGAGAAAGACAGCCCACGTGACTGAAGGGTTCGGAGCTGGAGGAGGGCCTTCCTAATTCCTTGAGGTTCCAGCAGGGCCAGATGGAGCAATGAGGCACACCCTTCTTGACCCTGAAGGCAGAGCAGAAGCAGAAGTCATACAGGTAGACCTGGATCTGGGCAAAGGCAAACCTCATCATCAAAGCTGTGCAGAGGGCTAAGGACCCCAATCCCCTGCTGAAGGCCTGGCAGAGAAGATTCCTGGCCCACGTGCCCCTGAGGTTTCCACCCAGCTCTCAGAATCTGCGAGCCTGGGACCCCTGCAGGCTCCAGGGGCCCAATTTTGCTTTGGTTTCTTAGAGGACCTTATCAGCCTCTTATACTGGACTAAGAGCACGGGTGTGAGGATGACTGAATGCTCAGGCAAACATTTCTATGTGTATTTTAAATATTTCTATATATATTTTACAAGAGGAGAAAAGTGCTGCCTGGCAGGCCAAGGCAGCAACAGATGGCAATCTTCGGGGAGCCTGTCCTTGGAGTATATTAAGGGCAGTAAAAACCAGAGTATTACAGGAGAACAAGCACAGTACTGTGAAACAATATATTAAATAAACATGTTGTTCTCATTTATAAAACAGGACCTACAACATCATCTGGGCACCCAGGTTAGCTCAAACTGTAGGGGGAATGGCAATAACTCTGGATGTGTGCCCAGCACTTTGCAGAGCCCTCATCTGGGCACTGTCCAGCAGACGGCGATGTACCCTCAGATTTAGACAGTCAATATTATTATCCCCATTCTACAAATGAGAAGATAAAAGACAGGAAGTCACTTTCCTGGGTCACACAGTTAACTCAGCAGCTGAACTGAGATACAAACCCCGTAAGTGCAGCCCCCTTCCTATGCTGCCCCATCTCCAAACCACTGAAAAGCACTATGCAAACACTATGCAGAAGGACAGGTACACTGCCACTAGTAAAGACTTTCTTCCTGGCTTTGTGGCGGTGGTACCCACACGCGCTGGGGAGAGCAGAGGGTTTGGGGTGGGGTGAAGGGTGTCAGAATTCTAATTCTGAATCTGTCATTTATTAGCTGTGTGGCCTTGGGCTAGTCACTTCACCTTCTCTGTGCCTCAGTTTCTTCATCTGTGTAGTAGGGATGCTAATACATACATTAGCTGCCTTATAGGGTTGCTGTGTGGACCAAATGAGATGGTGTAGACAAAGCCCTCTGCAAACCCCTAAATGCCACACAAATCAGCTGTTCACCAAGAGCCCTCGGTCGCCCTGGCTGGCTGTCTATTCTCTCAGCACAATGTCACCCTCTCGGGATGGCTTGTGCAGGTATACAGAGAACCAGTCCAGCCTTCCCCCGAGAATTCCATGATCAGCGCCAGCAGCACTGCAGGCCATCGAGCTTTGCTGTCCTGTCTCCTGTGCCTGTTTACCGGAGGTTTGTGGTGAAGACTGCTGTGAATCCGGGGAGCTCCACCAAGATTTGCCTGTGATTTACACACGGCTGCCCTGGACACAAGTTGTGTCTCTATAAAGTCGAGGGACTAGAATTTTCCAGTCGAGTTGTCATCTTCTCTTGGTTCTCACCTTCTCTGCTCCTCCCCACAGGCCTCGTCTCACTGACCTGGCCTCTCTCCAGGACAAGCGGGCAGCCCCAAAGACGGAGACTAGGAGGGCCAGGAGAGCCAAGCAGGCACAGTGTGAGCTGCCAGAAGCCTCTCAGGGGCTCTGACGGCCTCCAGACCACAGGCTGGAGATCGCTGATTTTAGAAAAAAGAATGAGAGGAGGAGGGAAGTGAAGACTCATGGGGCACAGCACCTCTGCAGCTGTGTCCTCCATTAAGTGGGGCCAGGGAAAAGAGAGGACTGGCTTGGAGCTTCGGAACTATGTGGCTGACCCACCCACGCTATAGAAGTCTTTTCATGAGCCCATGCAGACTCACAGTTCCCCAAATCTCCATCTTCCTAAGCACAGGAAAGAAGGGTTAAAGTTAATACTAAGTCACATACCTCTCACAAAGAGCAAGCCTGAAGTTATAAAATCCATGCTAGACAGAGAGGAGGTCTACTTTTACCCAGTTGCCGATGATTTGAAACCTATTAATTCCTCAAACGCTCCTTCCTCTCCTGCCCGCCCTGGGAGACATCGACCTCACTGCAGCTGAAATCGAAGGGGAACGGGAGGGGTATTGGATCCTTACCTGATCCACGGACTTAGAGGCATCCACCTTCCTGACCTTCCCCATCTCCTCATAGAGGTCAATAATGGGCTTAGTGTACTGCAGATAGGTCTGAATTCTGTAACAGAGAACACACGACTGGACTGTATGCTACAGCTATCTCCCCTTTCACTGCCATGTTCGAGTGAGGCTTAGTGAGCTAATCCTTGTGGGCACTGCCCCATCCTAATCATGACCCTGCCACAGGACTCGGGGATTTCCAGGCCAGACTCTTCCTCGGCCTGGGCCTCCGAACAAAAGGAGCAGGAAATCCGGCAGCTCTGGCTGCCCCAGCCCGGCTGAGAGCACCCCCAGGATGAGGATGAAGGCCCACCCGCGGCAGGCGGGGTCACACCAACAACGGTACCTCTTTGCTAGGCTTTCTCGGTTGTCATCACTCCTGCCGCTGCTCTTACCCCTCTCAAGACAGCGCTCAATGCAGATCTGGTCAAAAGGAACATGGGAACAATTACTAGACAGAGATGCTGATCCCAAACCTGCCATTCTCCTAACCTGAACAATTTAAAGGAAGCAGAGGGAAAGGGAAAAAAAAAAAACCCAAAACCCAAGATTCCCTGCACAGAGCTCCAAGTGTCTGATTCATTAATCAACAAGCAAAGCTTCTGACGTTGAAGCATGTGGTTCAATTTATATAAACGAGGTTAAACAAGTCCAGAGCACCCTAAGAATCCATTCATGACTCAGTTTTTCCTGGGTATTCTTTTACAAACCGCAATAAAAAGAAGATCTACATGAACGTGGCTCCTCCAGGACATGTTATTAACTTATTAGGTATGAATTACATGCCTCCGTTTGGGTTCCATGTTGGCTTACTTGTCAATAACACCATAAATATCCCAATATTTAATCACCAACATATCTGCACTTAAATAAAGCATCTCTTGTTAATAACAAATCAACATTCCTTCATTATGAAGCTGTGGTAACATTGTAGTGCTGACTTTGAAGAGTAAGTGAAAACAGATTGGTTTGGGGTTTAGGAGAGGAAGGGGGTGCATTTTCAAATAATGCAAAGTCTCCAGTGATTCTCCGTTACTACAAACAAGGGCACACTTGTCCTTGTATTCACGCACACATCCCATGGAGTCTTCAAGGGACCATTTCCAATCCTCAGCTTGTTCAGCTATTGACATGAGCTTAACAAACTTCACATTAGAGCAACTGAGAAATGGAACTAAGTATGTTAGTTTAATAATTCCTGGAAACCCAGGTATTTAAATTCCAAATTTAAAAAATATAGACACACACATGTTTAAAGGCATTCTAAGTCATCTTGGGAAGGAAAAAAAAACCACCCGTCTCCCACATTTGTAGATGGTGTCATCTTTGGAGAAGAGCATCCGAACGTCCTGAATGCTCTGGCTAGTTGGGAAAGTCCCTCTGATGTCCCAGGAATGTCCATTTCTTCCCCTCCCCCACATAAAGTAAAACAGTGGCTCTGATCCCAGGGCTTGCTAAGACAAGGGTGGTCCAGCCAGCCGTTTGTATCAGTTCCCATAAGTACTGTGAAAAGAAAGGTAATTCTGGTTTTGCAAGACCAACAGCCCCATTGCCAACGCCAAAGTGTTTTCACGTTCATATAGCAAGACGTGGGGCTACTGTCTTTCCAGGCCGAATTCACTGCTGCTGGCATGGCTGCAAGTGCCGAAGGCCCAGGTGAACACCATCATGTGGACTTTTGCTGTTGACAGCCAGTGTCTTACAGACCTCTACAAATGAAGCATGGGTGGGTTAAGTTGCTCATTACCTCATTATCACAGTCAAAAAACAGAATGAAAGCTACATCTGCTTTGCCATCCATGGTCTTGTTCCAGCCTTGAAGGTTGTCCTGATTTCGAGGAAACCCATCAATCAAGAATTTATTCTTCTGAGCATTGGCCTCCGTTGTTCGATCCATTTCCTAGGGGACAAAAAGACAGTTGTATGTTCCAGGGCTCATTAATGGAAAGTTACAACAAGGAGGAAGGCAAGAGAACTGTTGAGGAAAAGGAATATCCAGCACCATCCTCCTTGAAGCCAATGGGAACCCCTTCCTCTTCCTCTCTCCTAACTGAGACACATGTAGAAGCCATCATCACCCCAAGGTTCTGTTTCTCACTTTTGCCAAATTAAAATTCACGCCTTCTTTCTCTCCCACCTTGGTATAGATTCCCAGAGAGGGGACCAGGCAATATTGTGATCTATAATGTATACAAAACCCCTCAGAAAGCAGGGAGCAGTGTGGGAAACGGAGTGGGAAGAGCACAGAATTTGGAGTCAGAAGACTCGGGTTCCAACCTAACTCTGCCGCTCAGAACAAGTCTGCTCATGGCCACATCATTTCCCCTTTGGGGTCCTCAGTCCTTCAGCTCTAAAAACAAAGGAGTTAGACAAAGTGGGCTCTGTTAGGGCCCCTGGAGCATTCCTAAAAAACACAAAATAAATGGAAAGGATTACAATTATGCTAACACATCAGCCAAGTTCTTAACCTCCCATCAAAGCCCTCTTCCGACGCCTTACTCTGGAGGCCAGATTCCATGGGAGCTGGTCATTCCTCAGTCAATGCCAGCAGGTCCCAACAGGTCCCCAACCTGTCTGCTGCCCAAGGACCAGATTCATGAAGCTCAGAGAGGCCCATGGCCTGACTGCCAAAGGACTTCATGGGTAGCTGGGACTCCTGATAAGGAAAATTCCCGTGAGAAGAGGATTCACTCTCCTCCCTGGGGTCAAGTGTGTTTCCCTTCCAGCAGAGTCTCAACCACAAGGTGGCACTATTAGTCTGGAGGACTACATAGGTCTAGAAGAGGGAGAAGATAAGTGGATAGACGGCTCATGGGAGAGGGAAGGAGAGTTGTTTGGAATAGTTATGTTGAATCCTCTGAATTGAGTCCTCTGTGGTGTGTGTTTTTTTTTTCTTTCTACTTCTTTCTGAAGGGAGAAATAAAGACTGTCCTGTATCTGACAGATACTGTTAACTTGAGTGCTTGTAAGGGAGCTTAGGGCCCTTTTTCTGGGCCTGCACAGTCTAAACAGCTCACAGGAGCATTGGAGAGAGACGGTCGGGGTTGTTCCTCGGCCTTGTGACTGTTCCTTGCTGTCCCTCCACCTACTGGAGCCACGTAAACTTGTTCCTCTTCTCTCCAAGAGGCCTGATTCAAAAACTCCAATTGAACCTTTCCTCTTTCCTACAGAAGCCTGGTTTTAAGAACTTAGTATAGTCCAGGAAAACTTTGTCTCTCTCAATCTTACTGTCTTTTTTTGGGCCAGATCTAGGACTTCATTGGTAGAGGGGACTCCTGATGAGGAAAATTCCCTTCACTGATGTCAACTGGCACTCACTCTGCAATTTATAGTTTTGACAGAGTTGCCTGGAGTCCTGAGAGCTTAAAGTGAGGTCACCTAGCTATTATAGGTCAAAAGGTCCTTCCTCTCGCTAAGAAGCTGAGTCCAAGAACTTTTTACCACACCATGATCCAGGCTGCATCCAAATCACCATCTCTGGGGACGAAGAGGCTCCAGGAGGGCTTTACGGGGACCTAAGACAAGTCTCTCAGTTATCATTCTCACAGCCATGGTCTCCAGCTCAGCTCTGATTCTTTCTTCTCTGGCCAATCTGCCTGGTTCCTTGATAGGTTCCCAAGATACAACTCAGATCTATCATGGACCCAGAATCATAGGATTTGAGAGCTGGAAGCGACCTTAAAGAGCTCTAGTCTATAAGGCACTGTTGGTGGAGTTGTGAACTGAACCACTTATTCTGGACAGTAATTTGGAACTATGCCCAAAGGGCTATAAAACTGTGTACACCCTTTGATCCAGCAATACCACTGCTAGATTTATATCCCAAAGAGATTAAAAAAAAAAGAGGGAAAAGGACCTATCTGCACAAAAATATTTGTAGCAGCTCTTTTTGTGGTGGCTAAGAATTGGAAATCAAGAAGATGCCCATCAATTGAGGAATGATTGAACAAGTTGTGGTATATGATTGTGATGGAATGCTATTCTGCTATGAGAAATGACGAGCAAGATGATTTCAGGAAAACCTGGAAAGACTTATATGAACTGATGCAAAGTGAAGTGAGCAAGACCAGAACACTGTACACAGTAACAGCAACATTGTATGATGAAGAACTGTGAATGACTTAGTTCATTCTCAGCAATACAATGATCCAAGACAATCCCAAAGAACTCAAGATGAAAAACACTATCTTCCTCTAGAGAAAGAAATTATATTGTCTGAATACAGACTGAAGCATATTATTTTTCACTTTCCTTCTTACTTTCTTTCATTCTTTTTTGTTTGAGTCTTCTTGTACAAAATGACTAATATGGAAATGTTCCACATGATTGCACATGTATAACCAATATCATGGAGGGAGGGAGGGAGAGAATTTGGAACTCAAAACTTTTTTAAAAATGTTAAAAATTGTTTTAAAATGTAATTTGGGAAAAAAATAAAATATTATTTTAAAAAAGACCCAGCCCATACCCCAAAGGATTGTCCACTAGAACACCCATGAAAATGGTAACTCAGCTTCTGCTTGGCCATGTCAGAAGAGGAATTTGTAAGCTCTCCGAGGCAGCCCGTCTCACTACAACACAGCTCTCACACCTAGAGAGTTCTTCTGCCATCCAGCCTAGTTAGCCTCCATCCTCTGGTTCTCCCCTCTGGGGCAAACAAACAAGCCTAACCCTCCTCCACATGACGGCTCTTCAAGTCTTCTGGAAGACTGCTCTCAGCTCTTCTTTGCCCCACTCCCAAAGTCTTTCCTTCTTGCCTTCAGACTTTTCTAATCGACCTATTGTATAACTTGGGCTCCAGGGCCATTCTGGCTGTCCTCCTGCAGATGCTCTCTAGGTTTATCAAGGCTCTTCTTTTTAAATACATTTTTATTTATTTCATTAAATATTTCCCAATTACACGTAAAAGAAATTTTAACAATCATTTTTTAAAAATTGAGTTCCAAATTCTCTCCCTCCCTCCAATTTCTCTCCCTTCTCCTTGAGAAGGCAAGCAATTTGATATTGATTATACATGTGAAGTCATCCAAAACATATTTCCGTATTAGTCATGTTGCAAAAGAAAACACAGACCAAAAAAAAAAAGAAAGTCAAAAAACTCTGCTTCAATCTGCATTCAGAATTCATCAGTTCTCTCTCTGGAGATGGAGAGCATTTGTCATTCTGGGTCCTTTGGAATTGTCTTATCAAGGTTCTTCTTAAATAGTGGCTCCCAGAACAGAACACAATCCTCTGGATGTGGTCTCACCCGAAGCGGGGTAGAGAAGGATAAGTGCCTCCTTATTTCTGGAAGCTCTGACTCTTTTAAGGTATCCTGAAATGTTAGCTTTCCTGACTACCACAGCACACTGCTGACGGTTTACAGGCCCGCTCTGTAGGTACTCTGCTACCTAACTATGTCCTCCCCTATCGTGGATTGGAAGTTAAGTTTTTGAACCCAAGTGCAAGACTTGACATTCATTGCTACTGAATTTCATCTTATTAGATTCTGCTCAAAGCTTCAGTTGAGAGGTGTCAAACACTTGGCCACAACACTCCCACATACAGTCAAAACAAGATTAAAATCTAACTGGGACATATTTAACAAAATAAATAAAAATACAATAAAACATAGATAAATTAAAACTAAATCAAAGTGCATCCCCCCGGGATATTTATGTACAGATTAATGGCCACATTCACATTACTTACTACATTCATAAAGTATAAACATACATAAAGTATATACATATATATATACACACATACATATATATAATATATACTATATACATATAGTATATATACCTGGAATAGCTGTTGTTATATAGTAACAAGGTTTTCCAACTTTTTTTCTGTAAATAAGTGGCCTGGTGCTGAGGGGCAGTTAGGACAGTTGTGGATATCCTACCCTTCTCCATCATATATTTTACTTTTCTCTCTTTCTCCTTGTACTCTTTCCTTTTTCTTTAGTAATTCTTTCATACAGTTCTGTTCCTTTTATTCCTCTTAATTTTTCCTGTTTTACCCGTATATGTACACATACATACAACACACATATTTACATAGGCTGGTCACATGGATGGACCTAAAGTAGATAATCCCTAATTTAATAGAATATTCCTTCCTCTTTCATTCTCTAATGCCACAAGCTGTCCATAATGTGGTCACTGTCCATAAGATGGAAACACAATACCCTGTTGTTTTCTTTTAGTTTGTTCAAATGAAAGATGTGTTTAATTTATTGCTTGTTTGTTGGAATGAATTAGTCATCATTTACACGCCTTACCCTTTTTAGCAAGCTGATGGTTATCTCAACTGGCACAATCTGTCCTTCTCTTATGTACTTTTCAATGAGCTCTCCATACTGAGAATTTGGCTTACTCCTCTCATCACGAAGAAGATCTCCTGCAGAAAGGTGTGTATAGCCATATTTCTGGAAAAAAAAAAACCACACACACACATACAATCCAGTCTTAACCAGGGTCCTGAATTTCTATAGAGCTGCTACATTTACATACCATAGACTCTCAAGGGTAAAAATATTATGATTAATAATTCACATCTCTATAGAGCTAAATTTAATATCAAGTACATGAAGGCGAAGAAGGGGAGAGGAGGCAGTGGGGGGGAGAAGGAAGGGGGGGGAAGAGGGGAAGAGAGAGAGAGACAGAGACATAGAGAGAGAGAGAGAGAGAGAGGGAGGGAGAGGCAGAGGCAATGTAGCCCAGTGGAAAGAACGCTGGATTTGGAATCAGAGGCCCTGGCTGTGAACCTTGGGTATCTGCAGTTACTCCTGCTCTAACATCTCCGGGGTTGACTGCTTCTCAAGCTGTACAAGGAGGAAGCTGGCCCAAATAAGCCTTAGCGTCCTTTCCATCTCTAACCATTTTGACTCTGAGAACTCACAGTAGCCCGTGTTCTTCCTGGAATCCCAAGTCTCTATCAGGTGTTGAGGAGCTGCTTCCTTCCTAAAGTTCTTCCCGATGTTCCCCACCCTACCCAGGGAGATTCCTGCCTTCCTGGTACTCAGCCATTTTCTAACCTTAACATGCCCCTGCTGGGCACTCATCCCATGCCCTACCTGTGTAAAGGGGTTCATGTGGGGGAGCCTATCTTCCTAACTCAACCATGAGCTCCCTAAGGGCAGACCCTGCCCTGTACCCTGGGTCACCAGCATGCTCAGCACAAAGCTTTCCAATCAAGGCCTCGGTGCCTCTTAATACAATAGCTACGTGTGCAATAGAAGGAAGGAGGAACAACCTGACCTAGCAGCTCACAAGTATTTTCTTCAGTCCCCCATGAAGACTCCCATGACACCCCCACACACGTGTCATCCCCTCCCCCCACACTGAGCAGAACAAGGAAACAGCCTTTGTAAACAGAAATAAGTCCCGGCCCAAACACAATAAGGGACCCTCTGCCACGTCACTACTTCAACTGAATGTAATCATCCAATTCAATGATGAGTGAAACAGGCTCTGAGGTTGCTCCCACTAAAGCTCCCCTCTCCAAAGTTCCCCAGGATCTCCCAGCTACCTTTTCTCCACCCTCATTCTCCTTGACCTTTCTGAGGCCTCTGACACTGTTGGTCACTCTCTCCTCCCTCCAGATGTGTTGTGTGCAAGGAAGAAGGAGGAGGCCAGTGGAAGAAGACCGGAGAGGTGGGAAGGCCTTTAAATGACAAAGTAGTTTATATTGCATCCAAGAAACAACAAACGGGTCAGCTGGGCTGGAATGTGGCGTACATGCTGGGCATCTAAAATATCCACAATACCACATGGTTATGAACCTTCAGCGACACAGAGGAATCTGTAATACCTGAAGTCTACAGATATGGAGACAGGCTCAGCGAGAGTGAATGATTTCCAGAGGGTCTTCCATCGGGGAAGTTCCTGCCCCAGAATTCACTCCCAGGCCTCCACCAATTCCAAGCCCAACACTCTGGTCTGCAAAAAGAAGAGTGTAGCCTACCTGGATGGTTTCTAAGGGTCCTTCAATAATTCACTTCAATGCCTGTTAGCTTCTACAAATGTGTGAGATGTGGGAAAGTACCAGATGTCAGACTAGAATCCAGTAACAGCTTTGGTGGAATAGAAATTGTGTGACCCTGGCCAGGCTATGTTGCTCTCTGGGCGGCAGTTTCTCTTTCTACAAAGTGAGGGAGTTGGACTAGGTCTGGCATTCGAAGACCCTTTCCAGCTCTGACACTCCATGTGTCAGAGACCCTGGCCTCTATGTCACTATGTGACCTCTGGAGTCTGACATTCTATTCCAACCTACTTCAGCCTCAGTTTCCTCATTTGTAAAATGGGGATGGCAATACCTATAGTATTTACCTAATGGGGTTGTGATGAAAATCGAAAGCAGGGAGCTCTATAAAGTGCTTTGCAAACCTCAACAGTCAGTCAACAAGCACCATTAGTGCCTCCTGTGTACCAGGCCCTGGGGATACAAGGTCCACACCAGGATGGCCTCTTCCTTTTCTGGTGGTCTGCACTCTCCCATTCCTTCCTGCTGTCAGCCCAGGAGCCCTGATGAGCACCGACAGCATCTTTACAGCACTCCCCACCGTGTCTTTGGAAAAGGCTTTCTGGCCTCTTCCAAAACGCTCACCCGAGGCCCAGATTCCCTGGAAGCTTCCCCAAGCCAGCCGCCTACACAACGTTTGGGGCTCAGCTGCTTTCACTCTCAGGGTACACAATTTCTTTCCTTTTGAAAGCATTTTACAACTATGAGCAACTACTGTCCACACAATTTTCCGGCTGCTCCATTGTTTCCCGTGTTTGTTTTGGTGCTGTCTTGGCAGGGTCCCCGCTGGCCTGCTGCTGGGTCTAGTGATTCCAGGCTAGGGTAAATATCGCCCAAATGAAGACACAAACATTAGCAAGCGGCAGTCAGAGTGCATGCTCTAATCTCACCCCCACCCAAGAAGGCTTGCTCCATAATGTTCTGCTGTGCGTGCAACATATACATTATGAAGCCCAGCTAGTAATTTAGAAATTAGTGCATCTGCGGTGTGCTTCCTGACATTGGAGAGCTGAGGCTGCCAAACTGGGGCCTGCATTAAAGTGGGTTTTAGCAATTACATTCTCATTTGGTTGGGATTTTCTTTAGGGAGAAAAAGAGCAGCCAGTTATGGAGGTACAGAATGGTCTCTAAAAATAGAAGCTGCATCATTTAGGAAGCAAAAATAAGCTTCTTTGACAAGCCCCAGAATTTAACTCACTTTGAGGATGACCTGATGTATTTATTGTGCATGGGTCAAAGCCACACAACGATCTTACTACCTGCTGAAAATTTCTCTCTGTATTCCATTTCCAAAGCCCCTTTATCTGAGAGTTACCCATTAGCAATTCCATTTTACAATTTATCTTTCTTGTGTTTTACCTCTCAAGGGACTGAAGGTTTTGCTGTTCCCCCATCCCAAAGTTGTGGGTTGTTTGTTTTTCAATCGATCACTGGTACAGTAATGATTAGGGTATTTATCATAATAAGCAGAGTTTAAACAACACTTAATGCTTTCAAAAGCATTCCATCATAATCAAGTGATAGCCAAAGCAAATTCTGAAAAAAGCAAGGATGGAAATTATAGAGCCTTAAAACCCAAACATTTTCCCATTCCCCAAAAGCTCCTAGCAATTGAAAATGAGGCCTACTGCAGCCTCAGCAGCAGGACAAAAAACCACAACAGGTTATAAATACCATAAACTTCAGGAATGAAAATTCCAACCTTTCTCTTCAGCCTCCAGTGGGAAAGGAATCAACTCAATCTGTGGCCGGCCATGGCCTCAATCTTCACTTTCTGATCCCTTGTTATTAAATTACAACACAATCTAATAATTGTTTTATATAGTACTCTCACAGTCTGGGGTTAAAAAAAAAAAGGCACAAGACCTTTTTTATTTTGTGATTATTACAACCAGGCCTCATGTTGACAATTCCAGGACATCAGCTGTCCTGGAGAGTCTCGATCTGTTTCTCTTTCTTGGACACGTCCCTGGGTGTCTTCTATCACTTCCCCATGTGGCAGGTGTCCCATTCAGCCTTCCACTCACAGGCTATGAATGACCAGGTTCTCTGCCCCACACCATCCCTCCATGATGGGCAGGCAGCAGGAAGGGCACAGACAGGAAACAGCAGACTGTCAGATGCACATACAGCTCAGAAACACCTGCCCACTCTGCAGGCATTCAACACACAGCTCAGAGATCTTACAGAGACATCCAGATAAATGTACTCAGTATCTCTTTTATCCTTAAAATCTACTCAAAAGCATCATCCTGAGATGCATATCCAGTGATTACCACCAAGAATGGTTGTCTTCCTTGTCTGAAAATGATGCTATTATCCATCCCCTCTTCCATAAGCAGGGCTGAGGGTGCCCTGAATCCATGAAGGCCAGCCCTCCTAAGAACAGGCCACTTGTGAGCAGCTGTAATTTGAGCAAAGCTTTGCTGGCATCAAGCCCACACTGGCCTTTGGGCACCCCTGCCCTAGTTAGTGACAGAGCTAGGACCTAGTGTATTTCTCATGAAACTGTGCTGCTTGAGCCATCCGCCTGCCTTGAATCCTGGAGTTAGCTTTGGAAGAGCTACAGCTTACACCACAGCATTCCCTCTGCGGCAACTCTGCCAGATGGTCAAGTCATCAACAAACATTCATTAAGCATTCACTGATAGGGATGCAGAGATAAAAATCTGAATAATACTAGCCCCCAAGGAGATAAACAAATAAAAAGCAATTTGGGTGGAGGTGGAGAGACCGCTAGCAAGTAACTGGGGCAGATCAGGAAGACCTCAGTAGGAAGTGGTCCTGGAGCTAAGCCTGGAAGGGCTGGGCATAGGAAACTATCTGTACAAAAGTATGGAGGCTAGAGATGGGATGCTGTACATGACCCAGTTTGGCTGAAATATGCCAGGGTGGAAGGAGGGGGAAGGAGGGGGTAGCTCAAAATTGATCGAGAAAGCTAAGAGCTTGGAGGTCTAGAGGAGCTTGTAGTTTATTACAGAGGTAATAGGGACATACAGATGCTTCTTGAGCTGAGCTCACACGGCTGCCCATTGCTCACACAGAACCAAAGTCTCCCTCAGTACCTGCTTCTGGATCCCTGTAAAACCAGCCTTTTTTCAGAGGGTCATATGGAGGAATAACATAAACCAGTGTTTCTCAAACTCTGTTTTTGATATGATTCTTGAGTTCCATCTGACATAAATGTGGATTCATGAGAAAATGCCAATGCCAACATTTTTACTCTAAAATACTAAATGTAAACTGATGTACGAATCAAAAATGTTACATAAGGCAACTTTTCAAAAGGAAAATATGCCAATTCTTTTTCTCTTTTGCTCCCAAATGTACTAAACTCTGCTTCATTCCAGGATATCCCACACACCCAGACACCCTGATTGGTTCCATCAATATATTTCCATCCAA